ACACACGCGCGCGCGCATACACACACACACGCACACACACACACATGTCCCTCTCTCCGAAAAGAACCTTCTTCTCTGACCCCCCCCCTCCGAGAACCCCCCCCAAAAAAAGACCCCCCCTTCCGACATAGCCCTTTCCGCTATTCCGCTTTCTCTCCTACAGACCTCCATCCCCCCCTCCCCGCCTCCAAGACAGACCCCTTCCCCCTCTTCCGACATATCCCTTTCTGCTCTTCCGCTTTCCCTCCTACAGACCCCCCCCGCTCTCACAAGCACCCCTCCCCCCCCAGCCGACAGACTCCCCCCCTCCAGGACAAACCTCACCTCTCCGAGAAATCTCCTTCCGTTTATCCGGCAGAGCCTCTCTCCTGCACTCAGGCCCGGGAGGGAGGAGGGGGAGGCGCTGACGCCATTCAAACACGGGAAGGAGGAGGGGGGGGGCTGACGCCCTTCAGGCCCAGGAGGGAGGAGGGGGGGGGGATGCTTCGCTCTGTCTGTTGGGGAGGGGGGGGGGCTGACGCCATTCAAGCCCGAGGGGAGGGGGAGGAGGGGGGGCTGACTGACGGACAGTCAGGCCCGGGAGGGAGGAGGGGGGGGGGATTCGCTCTGTCGAGGGGGGGGGAAGGGGGGGAAGCTGACGCCATTCGGCCAGGAGGGAGGAGGGCATTTGGGGTGGTGGGGGGCTGACGCCAAATTCAGGGCCGGGAGGAGGATGGGAGGGATGGGGACGCCATGGGGAGGAGGGGAGGAGTGGAGGGTGTGGGGGGGCTGACTGACGCCATTCAGGTGCACGGGAGGGAGGGGGAAGGGGCTTCGCTCCATGGGGGGGGAGGGGCTTGACGCCCTCAGGCCCGGGTGGAGGGGTATAGAGGTCGGGCGGGGGGGGGCGCCATCAGGCCCAGGAGGGAGGAGGGGGGGGAGGGGGGACGCCAGGGGGGAGGGAGGATGGGGAGGGGGGGGGAGGGCGACGCCATGCAGGCCCGGGAGAGAGGAGGTTAGGAGGTGCAATTAGGGGGGGGGCTGACAGGCCCGGGAGGGAGGAGGGGGGGGAAGGGGCTTCGCTCCATCGACGGGAGGGCGGTGACGCCATTCAGGCCGGGGAGTGAGGAGGGAGGGGGGGGGGGTCGGTGACGCCATTCAGGCCCGGGAGGTAGGAGGGGGGGGGGCATCAGCAAGAGAGGGGGGGGGGGGGGAGAAGAACAAACCCAAAGGCCGACGCCATACATGCTCGGGAGGAGGAAGTCGGAGGGAGCTGACGCCATGGCTGACGCCATTCAGGCCCGGGAGGGGGATCTGGGGGGGGAGGGAAGGAGCCCTGACGCCATGGCTGACGCCATTCAGGCCCTGGAGGGAGAAGTCGAGGGGGGGCGGGGGGCTGACGCCATGGCTGACGCCATTCAGGCCCAGAAGGCGGGAGGGGGCATCCCGTGAGTTTGGCTGTTCACGGGAGATCGTCACTGTCGTATATCCGAAGGTTGCCCAAGCGAGTTCAACATCTCTTTCTTATGGGGATGTCTCGAGCGAGTGCTCTTCTTGTCAGCATTAAAAGTCCTCCGTTGCAAGCAGAATCGGTCGCACCCCGGATCGGCGGCACTGGCCGGAGGGCCACTACAATAATAGTACTAATACTACGACCACTTCTTCTACTACGACTACTACGCATTCTACTACTACTACTACTACTACTACTCCTACTACTACTACTACTACTACTACTACTACTACTACTACTACGACTACT